CTCCCGCCTCGGCCTCCCAGAGTGTTAGGATTATAGGCGTGAGCCACCGCACCCGGCCTGTCCTAAGTTCTTTACATGCATTATTTCATTTAATTCTCAGTAACTCAACAAGGAAGAAGACACTCCTTTTCTGAACCTAAGGAAACTGAGATTTAGAGCTATTAAATCTCTTGCCCAGTCTCACACAGGTAGTGAGTAACAGAGCTGGTTTTGGAACCCAGGCATTCAGACTCCATTCTGCCATACTGCTTCACGGTATAGCATAAAATATTATGACAATGGGAATACACAAGAGGCAGCGGAGCTTGTGTTCAGGATCTAGATTAATAAAGACAAGAGGAGGCATGTTGGTATTAACCATCCTACAAAGCCCCATCAGATTTGGCTGAGATCCCAGTGGTGACAAGGATCCTGGGGCTGGTAAATCTGTGCGTTGGCAGGACACTACTAGGTTTGCTCAGGGTGCCAAACAGAACTTCGTTGAGTCCTGCTGTTCCAAGTTGATTGATGGTTCTGGGGAGGCTCACCCCACACAGTTGAAAATCTGCATATAACTTTTTTTTTTTTTTTTTTTGGAGACAGAGTCTCCCTCTGTCACCCCAGCTTGAGTGCAGAGGTGTCATCATAGATCACTGTAATCTCAAACTCCTGGCCTCAACCAGTCCTCCTGCTTCAGCCTCCCAAGTAGCTGGGACTACAGGTGTCCACCACCATGCCTGGCTAATTTTTTCTATTTTTAGTAGACTTGAGGTCTTGATCTTGCTCAGGCTGGTCTCAAACTCCTGAGCTCAAGCTATCCGCCTGCCTCAGCCTCCCAGAGTGCTAGGATTACAGGTATGAGCCACTGTGCCCAGCCTACATGTAACTTTTGACTCCCCCAAAACTTAATCACTAATAGCCTTATGTTGACTGGAAGCCTTACTGATAGATAACATAAATAGTTGGTCAACACATTTTGTATGTGTTACATGATGTATTCTTACAATAAAGTAAGATAGAGAAAAGAAAATGTTATTAAGAAAATCAAAAGGAAGAGAAAATATATTTACTATTCATTAAGTGGAAGTAAAACATCATAAAGGCCTTCGTCCTCCTTGTCCTCACACCAAGTGGGCTGAGGAAGAGAAGGAAGAGAAATGGTTGGTCTTGCTGTCGCAGGGGTGGCAGAGGCAGAAGAAAATCAGCATGTAAGTGGACCCGTGTTGTTCAAGGTCAACTGTACATACTTCAGCTGAAGATTTTAGCTCTTTTAAAGACAGGTGTTAGGCTGGATCATTTCTGATATAAGGCAGTAAGATTATTAAGCTAAGATAAAGAATGTAGTTTTAATGTCTGACAGCATATTTGGTGTAAGTTATGACACGGAAAAGCAAATTTTTGGCATTATTCGGTTTTTTTTTTTATCTTAAGTCTAAACTTATATCCTCAAAAAGCCACTCTGCATAGTAAATGATTTTAGTGTAAAAACTTTACAGTTGGAGACAGGGGGATTTCAGTGATTGCTTTTCATTTTCCACATTTATAAAGAATGGCATTTAATTCATTAATAAATGCTTCAGACCCTTTTCTTGGTATGAGCTCAAACGGAAGGTCTAGCTAAGTGCAGCAACTGTGACTTAACCTTTTTTAAATGCTGTTAAAATTTTTTCCTGATATTTAACATAACCTTTGGGCTATCATTTGTTTTAAAATTATTTAATTTATTAATAATTATTAATTTATTTATTAAGTAATGCATTGTTAATAAATAAGCATTATTTTTTTCTAACATAGGTATGTTTTTCTCATATATTACCTCAAGTCTACTGATGTAATTTGGAACAATAATAATATATTATGACTGTTTCTTACTTTAGGCTCCATTAAATGACCCTTGGGCATGTGCCTCTTTCATGGGTTTGAAGCCTTCCACCAGTAAATACCATCTCGTACGAGCAATATTGGAGTCAATAGCTTTCAGGTATGAAACCTGCCATAAACTTTCCCCTCCTCATACAGTATTGCCATTTCCTTTATTAATTTGCTGCTAAATTGAACATTTAAACATTTTAATTAAATTCTTTAATTTATACTTTTAGTTTAATATATATTGTGTATGGTAAAATTTGTTTTTGTTGGCCAGGTGCAGTGGCTCACACCTGTAATCCTAGCACTCAGGGAGGCTGAGGCAGGAGGATCGCTTGAGCTCAGGAGTTTGAGGTTGCTGTGAGCTAGCCTGATACCACAGCACTTTAGCCCAGGCAGTAGAGTGAGACTCTGTCTCATAAATAACTAAGTAGGTAGATAGATAGATAGATAGATAAATAGAAAAAAGAAAAAAATATGTTCTTGTTGCCAGTTTCCTTGGTATCTCTTATTTTTTCCCATGTTTAGTAGTA